GATCTTGTTCTATCTTGAGTAAAAGTAGAAGTACTCAGATCTTGTACTTGAGTAAAAGTAGAAGTACTCAGATCTTGTACTTGAGTAAAAGTAGAAGTACTCAGATCTTGTACTTGAGTAAAAGTAAAAGTACTCATCCATTATTGAGGTCTACTAGAATAGATTTATATTGTTCAATGTTCCAAACTCACATTGGTTTCTCATACAGCATCTCTGTATAGTATATGTATTCACTCTCTGTCCTTCACGGCAAAACTCAGCCTGAACTCAGCCGGATCACACACATGTGAGCTGCGGCTGAGAAAAGATAGGGCTGAGTGTGTGTGTGTGCGTGTGCGTGTGCGTGTGCGTGCGTGTGCGTGTGTGTGTGTGTGTGCGTGTGCGTGTGTGTGAGGAGCTCCACGGATTGGTCCATTTGGATCGTCGTTACGTCACTTGGTTCCCGGAAGAAAAAAAAAAATGTCCAACGAGGCGTTCTGGGGCAGCATAGACAGGTCTTCTCTGTGTTAGAGTTTTACTCCCTACAGGGTGTACTTTGAGGGTTTGTGACTCTGCAGACCGTTTACATGCAGAAAAACCTTCATAACACACAAGGGGACGGGTGATAACCGGAAAAGCATGACATGGGCTCTTTAAATAAACTCTACTTCCCTTGTTTTGTAATTTTTTTAAGACTTTTTTTTATAATGGTTATCAATAATTTATTTTTTAGAATCAACTATTAAAAGAATGGCTTTTAAGGATTTGTCACAAGTCTGAAATGATGGCATATGAACACATATAAATATATACAGCATTATAAAGAATACATGTGAAATCATTGTATTCAATTCAAATTAAAAACACATTTTCTTATAAAATCTGGCAATAACCAGCTGAGATTAAAATGTTTGAAGTTGTCTTTTTATGTCAAACACGTTGTAGTGATTACATATTATGTATATTATAATTGTGTCACTCACCGTATGAAGCGAGCGCGACACCGTCTGTGTTTATCCACGGAAACTTCTCCTTTAACTGAGTCGCAGAGAGAAGAGAAACATGGGCTCCGAAGCTCCTACAGACACACAAATAACCATTTATTTAAAAAAATACAAATATAATTGTGCCTTAGAGATACAATTCAAAACTACAACTCTGGATGAAAGATGGCCGACACCTCTGGGTTTTGTAGTTCTCCTCCATGATGTGAGCCACTTCCTCGTTGGCCAGGAAGAGGTATCCTGAGTGGTTGAACTGGAGGTCCACCGGGTCTTCATTCAACACGTGGAGATGTTCCTGAGATGCAGAAAAATCATTTACAAACTAAGAAAATGAAGGAATGAATATAATGTATACACTAAAGAGAAATTGAAAATAAATTGCAAAAAATACAACAGAAAATACTTTTTGATAATATTAGAAAATAGGAAAGTTATGTCATTTTTGAATAATATTTTAAGCCATGAATTGAACTAATGCACTACCGAAAAAAGGTAGATGGGACACTTAAATTAGTATAGAAATACCCATTACATTTGGGAAGAAACGGCATTAAATCTAATTTTAACCAAACATTAACATGTAAATAATTCAAAATGTAATTGTTTTAAACGTAAAATCAATTAGCAACCACATTTTTCGGCTCTAAATTGAGAATATTAAATGAGCTGCTTGAGGCCATAAAGAGGCATACAAACAAAAGATCTTCCCAAAGTGTTTTTATACCCGTCTTATTCTTAATTTGTTATTATTTCTGTCTCTTAAAGTACATTTCATTCCGTGTTTCTCTTGCATGTTGAATTGCCTTAGTGTTGAAATGTGTTCTGTCAATAAACTTGAACTCTGCATATTTACATAAGAAAAGTGACCGTGACATTTAATGATTTAAAGGGCCTGTAATTCATTGGCGTTGTGTGCAGACTCGACCTACATTGATGTTCTTCATGAACTGAGCGGAGGCCATGGAGAGGTGGATGTTCTCGGGCAGAGAGAACTGCTGTCGGATGCCTCCTGCAGAAAGCACCGTGGAGGACTGCGAATACTGCGGAGAAACAAGAAGAGGAAGCTTTGAAGATTACATTACGTTACAAGCTGCTGTGAGTTGTGTTGGGGACTTTTATTCTACCTCAGATATATTCAATATTTTCTTCTTTGATTAGTTGTAGTATTAAAACCTTATTTCTTTTCCCAACTTGCAGATAAATTCCCTCTCAAATACAAATGTTTCAGGCATTTTTTTCCAGAAAGTTTACCATAATTTCACTCATCTAAGAGCTGCTGCAAGTTTGAATAGAAAAGGTGATTTATTTTTTGTTTCTCCTTCAATCGTTTCATCCTTCCTCATTGCAAACTATTCAAAATCCAAATGGAGAACAACTAATGCCTTGAAATACCAGATGACAATAAGATACGAAAAAGAATAAACACTAGTTTGTGTGAAATTAGAGAGAAAAATTAATTCGCCAAGAAAATTGCGACAGAAACGATACCGGCAAGAATTAAAGTAAAGGTGATGGCCTGATTAAATTGTGCAATGTACTATACTACAAATGTACAAAGTATATGTTCTTCTTAAAGTTTGCCATTGTTATTGAATTCAAGCGATTGTTTGTTTTATATAAGTGCATTTTCTAACTGTGCAAAAACCATGAAATAAAAAAGAAATACTAAAGGATGCGTTGCAGCATGTTTGAAAAGGTACATCAAGTGGTTTTAAGTTGCAATACCCTCAGTTATATATAATAAGTTCTTTGTTCTTATTATTCTTTATCAGAATTAAGGAAAATAAAGCCCCTAGTATGAGATAGCATCGTAATGTTTTAGTTTTAATCACTAACCTGTGACCTCTCCTATCTTATTTTTCAATTGTGCAAAACCATTAAATAAATAAATCATACTATAGGATGCCTTGCAAGTGGTTTTAAGCTATACATACTGTTGGATGCTTTTTAAAAAGGTGTAAACAACAATGCATGGTAATGGGTCTCTCACCGTTGGGTCCTTCTCCACCACCACCACCTTCACTCCTCCTCGCCCCCTCTCCTTCCGTTTGATCCAGTAGGCGATGGACCAGCCGATCACGCCCCCCCCCACGATCACAACATCCGCCCTCTCTGGAGGGAGACCCTGGCCCATCTCCAGCGGGCTCCAGCCGCTCCCCGGCAGAGCGTCCAGAGCCTTCTGCCTCATGGCCGCCAGCTGGACCTCCAGGTCTGAATCAAATCAACGTTTATTAATATAGCCAAAAACCAGAGGTGTTAGAAGTACTCAGATCTTGTACTTGAGTACTTGCAATTTTCTTAATGTCTTTCATTTTTGTAAAGCACTTTGAATTGCCTTGTGTTGAAAGGTGCTATATAAATAAACGTGCCTTGCCTTGAGTAGAAGTACTCAGATTGTGCACTTGAGTAAAAGTAGAAGTACTCAGATCTTGTACTTGAGTAAAAGTAGAAGTACTCAGATCTAGTACTTGAGGAAAAGTACTCAGATCTTGTACTTGAGTAAAAGTAGAAGTACTCAGATCTTGTACTTGATAAAAGTAGAAGTACTCAGATCTTGTACTTGAGTAAAAGTAGAAGTACTCAGATCTTGTACTTGAGTAAAAGTAGAAGTACCAGAGTGTAGGAATACTCTGTTACAGTCAAAGTCCTGCATTCAAAATGTTCCTCAAGTAAAAGTAGAAAAGTATTCTCATCAAAATATAGTGAAAGTAGCGACAGTAAAAGTAGTCGTTGTGCAGATTGGTCCATTTCAGAATAATATATATGATATGTTTTATAATGATTGACCATGAAAGTGTTCTCAAAGCTGGTAAAGGTGCAGCTAGTTTGAATGACTTTGTATACTGCAGGGTAGCTGGTGGATTTACTCCAGGTGGAACTAAAGTCTGATTTAACACTTGATTATATTTCACATCATTCATCCAGATCTGAAAAGTAACTAAAGGTATTAAATACATGTAGAGGAGTAAAAGAACACCATGTACCTCTGAACTGTAGTGGGTAGAAGTACAAAGTAGCAAAAACTTGAAATACAAGTCTCTCAAAATGGTACTTAATTACTGTACTTGGGTAAATGCACTTAGTGACTTCACACCACTGCCTCAAGTCAAACAGAAACAGATACAACAGATCTGCCGTTGTCGATGAATGGACGCCCTGTTTCCTGCGTTGGCTCGTCCACCGCCCGTATATCATGCAACAAATGCTGCAGTCTGCACGGAGGGCTTCTTTGCGTTTTGATGCACGGGCAGTAAAGCCGAGCTGACAGTGTTTACTATCCCTGACGAATGACACTCTCTGAGCACTCAAGTGTCTTAGTTTTGAATCAGGGGACGAATTGAAGCAGCCGCTCTGTTGTTTTCTGTGGTTCAACAAGTCTGACCGCATGAAATCCAGTAAAATATGTGTTTTTCTCTCATCTTAAATGAGGCCCGAGCTTAATGAGGCTCAGAATCAGAAAGCCTTTTAACATTCAGTCTGAGGAGAAATTGACGTGTGGCAAAAGTGTTTTCCATGAAAGAGAATTATACATTTACCACCAGGCCTGAGAGAAAAGAAGGACCAGCTTGATGTCTCTCTTTGCTCCATTTGGGAGTTTAAAGCAGCTGTGATCAATATTTTGATAAAGACATTGGATCAAACAGATAGGTGTAACCTGGGAAACGTTTCTGATTAACCATCTTTGCTCTATCTGCTAAGCATCAAACCATAAATACTCAACGTTTGCAACTACATAGTGGAGCATTAAGCAGCTTAACGGCCCGTCCACACACATGCATGAAAAAAATCTTGAAAAATCTTGATGCTGGGCGTGTCTGAAGCTTGGCGATCTCACGCGCCCAAGGCGACCA